ATTTCCTTTTAAGGTTTCCTCTCTGCCACCTACAGTTACAGTGAACTTCCTCAGCTGTATATCAGTGATCAGGATGAGCTCTGCAGTACCAAACAGGCTTTTCCAGAGAATCTGATACTGCTGCCAGGAGGAATCCCCCGTACTCCCCACAGCACAACCAACTACTACAATAAAATGCTGTTTACACATTAATGATCTAATGATATAACAGTCACAGCCCTTTTTCTGTATTTGTACTTTTACTTTTACTAACTTTAGGTTAACTACCTAGACTTTTACTTAAGTAAGCTTTCAATGCAGGACTTTTACTTCTGGGTTTTATAGTGTGGTGATAGTAGTAGAGGATCTTGATACTTCCTCCACCACTGGCTCAGAAACACACACTGTGTATTTCTCTTTGTGTGTTTGATGGCATAGATCTGCTGCACTGCTGGCTCTTACCAGGGTGTGTTGCAGGAGTGTGTGAGTGTGAGGTAGCGGACCCCCAAATGGTACATGGTGCGCAGTGTGCCCAGACTGCTGTCGAGTGAGTGACCCCCTTCGACCCCGATCAGACTGGCTGTCTTGTTCATTGCGAAGGCCTCCATGATGTCTGTGCAGTGCAGACATGAGGGATGATGGGTGATTCAGTATGGAAGCAGAGGCAGGTATGAGCAAAGTAGAGTTGACACTCTCTAAAATTACTAGCACACTCACCTTGGCTACTGGTGGCAAACATGAAGGTTTCTGGGTATTTCTGACACATCCTGTGAACCACATCTATCTGCTCCAGTGTTTGGCGGACAGCATCTTTGTACTGAGTTTCACAGGGAACATAGGCTGACCAGAACTGAAAGAGGAACAGAGCATAATGTATGAATTACCAGCACCACTGCGTATCCAAGGAATGTTTATAGAGCTCCTGTTTTCCTAATTAGAACCATGTCCCTTTTTACTGGTTGATTTTATGAATGCTTTGTTAATATCACCCAAAGTGTGAGAAACAGTATCTCTTTTAGGGACTCGTGGAAAATGACTGCATTAAGGTAGTTCAAATTGTTAAAAACAATCACTTCTCAACAATACATACCACATAAAATAAGACCAGAGAGACGAAATGTCTTGCCTATTACAATTACAATTACATCCAGTATAAAGATTTTTTAAAGTGCTTGATGTTCTTTACTCTAGCTTGCATAATACAAAAAGTTAGTTTTGTCAAGGTCATAAAAGACATTTTACAGAGGTAGGCAGGAAGTGTATCAAGACTAACACTGAACAAATCTTTTTTTCTCTGTATTATCAGTGAGGTCCATGCAGTTATAATGTATAATAGAATCAAATCCTAAATCTAAGGAAATCCTGTGTAAGATTTCAGTTAGGGATCCATATGATTGTGTATTTTGTTTTGTTTAATTTAGAAACTACTATAGCTGTCAAATAAATGTACGTGTAGTAAGACGTATTTACTACATACTTCACTCTAAAAGGTTACTTAAGTGTTTATTTGAGTAAATGTATTTATTTACATTCCACCAATGCCAAATTTTGATTTTTGCTGCATATGAAAAGTACCTTCTAGATTAAAGATATAAAACTTAATTTGGGTTTACATCCTTAGGGTTGGGAGACCAGTGAATCTGAATTGAAGCTTGGGTTGACTATATATAGATAACTGTGTCATCTGCGTACAAATTATTCTTTACTAGCTTAAATTTTCATCTAATTTTGTTTAATTACATGGAGAACAAACAGGTGTTAATGTGAAACCTTGTCACCCCTTTTTTGGGGCACCTTGGAGCTGCTCAGTGCAACTACACAGTGCTGTGGCTTAGATTTCAAGTAATCAGCGTCATCCTATAATATTTCATTTCAAGAGTCTAAATGAGGAGGCGGTTACTGGCAACGCACAGGTGCTTATGAAGTGGTTAAAATATCAATACATGTGATATTTTGAGAGATACGCCTTACACCTCTGAATGACATGACCTTATTTATTTAATATGATCTCTAGAAGACAGGACATGGGGCTTAGCAGATAAAAAACCCCCTTCACCTTGAAAGGATAGTTAAATTTCATTTCCCAGTTCCCAGTACATTCTGTTCTGTATGTACCTGTGCTCCCAGGCGTCCGTCCTTGATCTTAGGGATGTTGGTGTGTGTGGTTTCAAGCGTATTAAGATCCACTTTATTGAGCTCATTGTTGAATTGCTTTCGAAGTTGCCAAGGCAGGTCATTATGGCTGAAAGTTTGCAAAATAAAAGGTCACACACTAATAGAACTTCCCCCTCAAAACTTTTATCACAAACTGTGATTTTACAGCAGGGAAGTCTGGCGAGATCAGCATTAGAAATTGCTTCCAGAAGTGAGCTTTCACTACAGAATGTATCATATCATCATTGTTGCGGGCAAACAGCAGATAAACAGCAGATAATATCATTAAAACAGTCATGAAAAGCAGATTTTACTTCATGCAAAAGATGTTATCTCTTACCCATCAATGAGCGGGGTCTCAGACATCAGCTGCAGAGCTCTGGTCATGTATGGATCCTCAGCTAAGCTGGCAGCACAAGAACTGAGCCACAGCGCCAAATATACAGCTAAGATAAACTTAGATAGCATTTCTTAAAATTCTACACACTTTTAAATGCTCTGCTTTTCTTTTACTTTGCGTCCTTAAGCTTTCTCCCTTGTTACCCTAATCTGTCTTCTTGGCCTTTCTTTAACCTCTTAGTAATCCTGATTCTACCTACTGCCGCTGGAACAGATTTCTTTCTCGTTAGCCAATCATCAATCTAAAAAAGCTTATTCTTTCAGATTCTTACTCGAGTTTTCTGTCTGTTTCCATTCGATGATGCCTTTGAACATCAACACTGTTCATTGCTCCTCCTCTCGCTTGAGTCTGTTTCTTATTATAGCCTCACCAGTCATAAATGCAGCACAGTAGCTCAAACATTCTTCCAATTTCTAGAATCGTTAGCCAACACGTTAGTTAATGAATAATATTCCTTTTGAGTGCTTTTCTAAAGTTCACTACATATTCTTTGGACAATGATATCTCTTTATTTAACATGACATCATTCCTATGGCCTTGGAAAACTCAAAACTGTTTCCAGAACTGCTACGCAGAATCAGCACAGCAGTCTGGCTTTAACCAGTGCTTCAACCATCTTCATTGTGAAGAAGAATGATTCTGAATTTTATACAAAGTTAGACTATGTTTAGAGTTGGAGTACTTTAGAGTAAGTGCTTTGTAATTCTACATCAACGTACTACTACATTACAGTAATATAATAGATATTTTACAGTAAAGAGCTGATGTTTCTCCGAGAGCCACACCTTCATTGCAAGAGATGAAGTAAAAACCTTTGAGCACTCATGAACTTCAGACACACAAATCAGCTCTAAGTCTTACTTCAAAGTAGATCTGGAGGTAATAATGGTAAATTTAATATGAGGAATCAGAAGTTATACCATTAGTACTTGCATGGCTCTCACAAAACAAATTGTGCTTTAAAAATTGTTTTGATGCTGAATGTGTAATAAACACGAGGATAATGTTCTTCTACTTTTAGGGCTACAACTAATGATTAATAGAAATGAATGTGTAGATTATTTTCTGAATTAATTGTTAGATAGAGTGACATGTTTGATTTTTTTGTAATCAGAATATTCAGTGTACTATTAAAAACGACAAAGACCACTAAATTGAGAAGCTGGAACATCTTTGCTTAAAAACCAAATTAAATGATTAATCAAAGTTGTTTAATTTTATGTAAATCAACTAATCAGTTAACTTCAGCTCTTTTTTTTATTTTTATGTATATTATTTTGCAGGATATTGTAGTGATAGTAAACTGCCTTTTTTCCTTTTCCTGTTTTCCATAATAATAATAGTTGTTAAAGTAATAAGGGGAAACAAGATAACAACCAGAGGCTGATGGTGATTAATGCAACATCAAAGTTTCATATTAATTTCATATTGGGATTTAACAAATGAGGGACAATATTGTCACTTGATGAGTTGCTGTGGTGATTTGTAGCAGCTGATAGTAGGACCAGGATTTATCTTCACTACAACATATAGGATGACTACAGTAGATGAGATTCCCTTCTGTAAGGCGTCCCTTATGAAGGAACTGATTTATAGCCCCCATTAACTCCATTTTCTTATCTTTAAGGCTGCTTTTCCAATTAGTCAATAAAGATGACGATCTACAGTATATGACACCCACTTTACGGGGTCAAAGAGTAAAAAGGAAATATTCAGTATTCATATTTTGTGTTGCAGTGTTTTACAGTCTTTATTTCATAGATTCCACCACATTTTAGACAGTATGGTTGACAGTTATAGTGGAAAGATGCATTATTTTTGTCACATATTAAATGTGTTCCAGACCAAGGTTAAAGTTGGTTAAAGATTTATTTTTCATCAACATCCACCCACACAGAGAAATCCCAGCTGGTCTAATTATACACATTCCTGTGCAGAACATTTCTATAAACACAGTTACCATTAAAAACCAATAGTCATTTAAAAAAGATTATTTCATGTGCTGGAATTTTTGTAGACAGTGTCATGGACCATCCAGCTCAGCAGATTGTGTAATAACTGGAAGCTGGAGGCAGTCAATCTTTCCTTCAACCCCGGCCTCCGCCCTTTTGGTTTGGTTGTGTTTAGTTTGTCTTTACTTCATTTTCTTTTATGCCAATGTAAAATAAAACTACTTTTCCTCTTGTTTGTCCAAGCTTGAGCAGGTTGTGGCAGTGCATGGTGGGAAGTTGCCTGAAGCACGGTAACAGTGTACAGCATATACAAAACCAGAGATAAAATATTATAAAGTGGTCTTATTTTACAGCAACCTCCCACTCAAAACCCTCCTTCGCAACAGATAAAATATTTATAAATACAGTATAGCAGACCCAGACTTGTTTAATAAACACACCTCATGTTTACCTCATGTTTACCTCATGAGATGGTGGGCTAAATCTTCAAATCAGTGTCATCTTTTAAATCTTCTTTAAAACTACACATTTACGTTGTCATATGTTACATTTTGTCAGTCTTTCCTTTTTTTGTTCTACTTTTATATTTATTTGGCAGTTTGTTATAATTAAAGCATCTGCATATTATCATCTAAAATTATTAAGGTTTTTACTGTTGATTGTTGAATTGTGTTTTATTTACTTGTAGTTTGGTTAATGTGTTTGTACCTGTTGGACACAGCTCCTGCTGACTGTCTTCTGACAGGTCAACATCTTTCTTTGATTAAGTAGCAGTAGGCATCTGATTTATTGTAAAGACACTGATTAGTGAAGCTTTATACTTTATTTAACCATGCAAGTCCTATTTAGCTGAGAGTATCACAGTATAAACAGATTTAAAACAGATGACAGTATGAAAAAGGCCAGCTGACTTCCTCACACATAAAATAAACCAGCTGAGGGTGGAGACAAAATGTAAGAGCAGACATTAAACAAAGATGCTTTTTGTAAATTAGGCATTTAGTCTTTGTGTATTGTCACTGTTGCACCCTCAAAATGAACTGCCTGTATACACAACAACGCACCTCACTCATCCTCTTAAAGAGACAGTATTCCTTTTCTAAAGGGTAAGTACAAACACTTCCAATCTTCCAAACATGCAGGCATTCAGGTAAGTAATATTTTTAACCTTGAAATAATAATCATATAAATTAACTGTAACACATATAAAGCAAATTACTTCCACTGGACACTGATATTCCAAAATTAACAAATATGAAATTACTGTTCCAGTGTGCCACATCACCACATACCAGAGGTGGCAAATGTACACACATTCTTTACTCAAGTAGAAGTATAGATACTTGTGTAAAAAAGAGTAAATGTAGAAGTACTAATTCAACTTCTTTACTCAAGTAAAGGTGAAAAAGTACAGGCTCTGAAATGTACTCAAAGTATAAAGGTACAGCAACAAAGTATGTTACTTCCCACTTTTGTTAACTATACTGCAATTTGTCTTCTCCATCTTGCCCTTCTAACACCAGACATATTTCACACTTCTGTTGCTAAATGATCTGTTCTTTCCTGCTTTGCTCATGATATCATGTACAAACAGCTAATAGAGAAAAAACCAAATTTAGGACAGAGGTTTCCATTTCCTCTTTTATGCATAAAGCGTGTCTGTTCATCACTCTCACACAGAGAGCGACGGGACGAAGAGACAGACAGGGACAGGTAGAGCTACAGAAAGGAAAACTATTCACGAGACAAATAAAAAAAGAAAGACAGAGACCAGCAAATACATATACCAAGGTCGGATATGGCCAGGTTGGATGTCATAGAGGTGTTTCATGGTATTTCTTTTCCTGGACATCTGCACACACAGGAGTCTTTGCAACTTGCTCAGAAATTTTCATTTAAGGACACGGATATCCTCATTGCCTCCTATCCAAAGTCAGGTAAGAAGAGAGGACAACCTGATCAGGATACATGTAGAGTCCTTAAGCCTAATGCAACTAACCACACAGGCATACTGAGTAACTCATTGCTGACACGTTGCTGCAGTTGTTTAAATTACATTTACATGATTACTTTGCAGCGTGTTTTTTTTAAAGCATATTTTTTGTTGTTTTTATGATTGGATTTAATAAAAAGTCAGTTTACAGATGTGATTTGGTGTCTGTTTTCTCTCCACAGGCACCACATGGATGCAGGAAATTGTGACTGTCATATCCAGCAAAGGGGATCCAAACTTGTCCCAGACTGTCCCAAACTGGACTCGGGCTCCCTGGCTGGAGCAATATTATTTTTCTGTGCTACTTGAGGCCTCATCCACCACACCTCGAGTTATCACCACACACCTGCCTCACCACCTGCTGGGCCCGGCCCTCCAGGGCTCCAAAGCCAAGGTCAAATTTACATGTTTGAGCGACCGCATGGACCACAGAGCCATTAGCTGATAGTCCAATATATCGGCCAGGTCAATACATAGTATTGCCAGTTAGTTAATTAGTTGTTATAGTTAACTTAAACTAAATTAAAACTAAAACTAGGGGTGAAAAAACATTTTAGTTAACTAAAATATAATAAAAATATACAGAAATGTCTTTGATTTTAGTCTTTGTCATTTTGATCAAATTTGTCAGCACAACAAGCATGAAGAGGCATTGGTGCATATTGAGACTCGGCTGTGTACATGACTTTGAGTCATTGTGTTGTAATAGCTATACCGATTATGAACTTCCTAAATCTTTGCCCTGAAAAATAATTCCATATTATAATAAACTAAAACCGACACTTAAACTATATAAAAACTTTAAAAACAACAACACAATACAAACATGACCCTGTTACTCTGTGTCCTCTTGCAGGTCATCTATGTGAGCAGAAACCCTAAAGATGTAGTGGTGTCCTTTTACCACTTCCACAAAATGGCAAACTTCCTCCCTGAGGCTGGCACATTTTCAGAATTTTTAAATCGATTCCTGGAGGGCACACGTGAGTTGACGTCGGGACAAAAAATATGTTTTATAGTTGTGTTTGCAGGTGAGTATACTGACTTCAGCTCTGCACACCAAACTATAATTTTATAAAATGTTCAGTATTTTGTCCAATGTATTTGTTTTAGTGTCCTATGGGTCCTGGTTTGACCATATTAAAGGCTGGACCAGTCAGACAGCAACTATTAGCAATCTGCTTCACATCACCTATGAAGAGATGTCGCTGGTAAAGGAATCAATTAATTAATTCTCGTCACACTAAACGTACATTTTTAAATAGACAACTAAGCGCACAAT